TGGGGGTCAGGACTCCTGGTCTGAGGGAGGAGGGGCTGGGGGTCAGGACTCCTGGTCTGAGGGAGGAGGGCTGGGGGTCAGGACTCCTGGTCTGAAGGAGGAGGCTCTGGGAGTCAAAACTGGTCTGAGGGAGGAGGCTGGGGGTCAGCCTCCTAGGACCACATCAGTGGTGGTATTCAAGTAATTTAACAACAGCTTAGCTGTCCAAATGATCGTTTTAAGTTTTTTTTAAGGTAGTTTATTATTTCACCCTGACATCAGAACCCCGCATTTGCGCAGATGAACTTCAAAAAAGCGTAAGGAATGTAAATTTGTGATTTTCACATTGGGCGGCAGGGCGGCCGCCCACCTTAGGGAGAACCCTGATGACAAGGGCCATTTGAACAACGGGCTCGCGGAACTCAACAACCAAAAAATCCAGCTCCTCCTCCCTCAGACCCAGGCGTCCAGGCCCCCCAGCCCCTCCTCCCTGCCGAACGGGTGTGAAATGGTCGGTCCCACCACCGGACCGAGTGACACAGAGGTTGGAGCTTCGATTTCTCTCCCCCCAAGGCGTGACCCTGGTGGGGCGCCCACGGGGCGTGGCGGGCGGGGCCCTGTGCCTGTTCTTGGCCGGGACCGGACTCCTGATCGGCATCTTCCTGCTCCTGTGGTGTCTCTACCGCCGGGCGGCTCGGCACCGGCCCTTCGCGCACCACCGGCTACCGGACGACGACGAGCCAGGTGAGCGCCGGAGACCACACCTGGAGAACAGGCCCCGCCCACACTCTGTAAGCCCCGCCCCTCGAATGACCGACCGCCCCTGGGTTTTGTCAAGCATTGGAGGGCGCCCCACCAAAATGTACGATCTTCCCCTACGAAGGTCAGTGAAACTATGACCCCCTCCATTGTCAAATCCTGCCGCCACCAGGCCGTGATGGGAATGGCAACAGGCGGGAGCCCAAGGTTCACAAAACCACGCCCCCCTGGTAGAATCTTCGGCTCTAGGCCCCGCCCCTATTCTGCGGCCAAATCGTTCCCCGGCCTCCTCTTTGCCCAGGACGCTGCAGAGGGTCCCAGCCCCTCTGCCGGAGATGACCGCGCCCCCTTGCTTCCCCAGTGATGCACCTGGACACCCCGAAGGACCCCTACGACCTCTACTTTTATGCACCGGACGCCTGGGTCCCTTCGCACATCGCTACCAAGCAACTGCCGCCCACGCCCCCGCTGCCACCCAAGCTGCCCCCGCCGCCCCGCGGGGGTCCCCCCCAGCGCCTGGAGGCGCTGTCCCCTGCCACACTCCCCAATAACTTTGTGTAAGCCCCACCCAGGTCCCGCAGGACCTGCGCGTGCCCAGACGGAGAGAGAGGACCCAGGGTCCTGGCCTCCAAACAGCTTTGCTACTAGGGAGTCCTCCAGATGGAGGGTCCAAACGACAGAAGGCTTTCGCTGTGATCTGAGAACATGCTCTGAAGTGGAATAAACCACGTGTTCCCATGCCGGTCTCCTCTCCGGATCCGCGTCCCAGGGAGAGGGCAAGGCTGGAGTCTTTCCAAGGCTGCTAAGTCTGAGACTTAAGGGTTAATGGAAGAGGGGCTGGATACTGAGGGAGAAGGGGGGTGGGGCCCTGGACCCCCAGGTCTGATGGAGGAGGGGACCAGGGGCTTGGAATCCTGGGTCTGAGGGGACAGGCGGCTGGAAGCCTGGATTTCTGTGTCTAAGGGGGGAAGGGGCTGGAGGCCTGGACTCCTGGGGCTGAGGGAAGAGGGGGCTGAGGCTGAACTGGGTGGCTCTAAGGGAGGATAAAGACTGAGGGAGGAGGGGGCTGGGAGTTGAACTTCAGAGGCTGAAAGAGAAGTGGGTAGGGGGCGTCACTGGACCCCTGTGACTTCATGGCCAGCGATAGCCAAGTTTGTACACCAAAGCATTTTATTGGGAGTGGGGCAGGGCAGGTTTTACAGTCACAGAGACAGACACACAAAGACACAACCCTGCCTGGGGGGGTGGGGGACGGGAGGCAGGAGGAACACCCCTCTTCACCACCCCATTCCCTTCCCTGGGATGGGGTGACCTTTCCAGTGAAAGCACCCCCAAATCCTAAGCTCAAAGAGGGGTGTCCAAGAGGGAGAGGGGTTCCAGATTTTGGAGTCGCTTAGCCCCTGAGGGACACAACAAATGGCCACTGAGAAACAGGGTGGCTTCAAACCACCCAGGAAGATAAAGTGCAAGGAACTTGGGGAACAGGGGGTCTTGAAACCACCACGAGGGGCGGGTGGGGGCAGGGGCAGAATTCAGCGGTGGTGGCTTCTAACCACTGAGAGGATCCACTATTTCGACCTGAAAACCAAGTTCTAGAAAGTGCCTGAAGGGGGGTGGGGGTGGAGGGAGGGGGATAGTGTTATTCACATAACCATTTTGGTTGTCTGCCTAGACATTGGACTGAGCTAGGGAGAAAGTCTTATGGGAATTTGGTGCTTCAGCAGAGGGAGACTTTAGAATCTGCGGGGGGGGGGCAGAAAAGTGCAGGAGGGGTGGGGGGACTTGAAACCCTCGTTTGCCCTCAGAAACGCTGGTGAGAATCAATCCCTGGAATTGGGGGTGGCTGGAATGGATGAAATCAACTCCTAAACTGCAGAATGGGGTTGAGAGCCATGTGAAACTCCCAGAGAAAGGATCTTGATTTTTTTTTTTTTTTCGGAGCGGGAAGGGAAGCTGGGTAACCTCAGAGAGGGATGGGCGGGTGGGTGTTAGTCTGGCTGCCACTGGACGTCATAGAAATAAGAGAAAGAGGTTTGACTGGCCATTCAAAAAAAAAAAAAAACCTGAAGGGAGAGGCCCCAACCACTGAGGCAGACAAGTGAGGAAGGAGTGGGGATCCTTGAAACCGCTGGTTTGCAGCTTCACTACCCCCAGGAGTTCGTTTGGGAAGAGAAGAGGATTGGACAGCACTGGGGACAAGGGAGAGTGCTTCTGAGGCCCGGAGTCGGGACAGGGAGGGGTGGGGTCCCTTGACACTGTAGCTCAGGCCAGAGATAGCTCAGAGAGGAGGTCCTGGAAACTGCCATTCAGTGAGAGGCACGTGGTCAGTAGTCCCGGACAGGGGGCGGGGGCCGTGGGGGCTGAACTGTACTGTGTGTGGCCCCGTAGGACGGAGGAGGCGCGGGGGGCGCCCCGGGGGGCTCGGCTTCATCCTCCATCTCGCTGTCCTCGCTGCCAGCCAGCTGGTCGTGGCCCACAAAGCCACACTTCTCTTCGCTCATCTCCTCAGGCTCCGCCCACGGCTGCTTCTCCCCGGAAGCGAAGATCCCATAGAAGATGACGCCCCCGTAATGCACCAGGGAAGCGATTAGGAACACATACTGCCACTCCTCCCGCGTCTGGGGGGTAGAGGAGAGGGGAGGGCGAGGGGGGACACAGCAGTGCAGAGTCACATTACGGTCAAGTGCTATCCTTGGACTTCAACTCACAGTGACCGCAGGTGCCATGTGACACAGTAGAACCGCAGCATTTGGGTTTTCTGGGCTGTAAATCTTTAGGTGGATTTAGCTAGGTTTTGCCCCTGCAGACTCCCAGGGTGGGCTAGAACTGCCACCCCACCCCCCACCCCCGCCGTTTAGAAGCCCAGCACTTAATCTTTGTACCTTGCGGGATCCAAATAGGGAAACCAAAAAATAAAAAGCTGTGAAGAGAATCCCAGTGGGGGCGGGGAGGGGTACAGAAGTTCAGAGAGTTGGAGACAAAGACAAAGAGGGGGCTCGGGATCCCCCGAGTTACCCCGTAAACATATCGAGTTGTTTCCGACTCACAGCAACCCTATAGGGCCGTGTGTAGAACTCCCCTCCAGGCGGAGGAAACCCCAGTGGTGTGTAAGCATCCTGCATGGCAGCAGCAAGGGACCACGAGGGAACAGAGCGGCTTCTAATAAACCCAAAGCCCAATTCACTGCCCTGGCGTCCACTCCAACTAAGAGCCACCCGATAGGGCAGGACAGAACTGCCCTTGTGGTTTTGCGAAGCTGTAACTTTTGACAGGAGCGGACAGCCTCTTATTTTCCCCCAGGAGTGGCTGGTGGGTTTTAAACTACGTGCCCTTTGGTTAGCAGCTCAACACATAACCGGCTGCCACCAGCCCTCCCATAACCACTCTAGGCCTCATTGTTAGGAGGCAGAAAGCCTGGCCTTTCTTCTGCACAGTCAACCTTTAGGTTGGCTAATAGTGGGGCACGGGTGCAGATGTGGGGATTGGGGCGGGGGGAGTGGGCTAGGGGGCGGGCACACAGACCTTGTGCTTTGTCATGGCACCCACGATGATCGGGCACACCATGCCTGACAAGGTGCCTACGCCATTGGAGATGCCCATGAGTATGCTGGCATAGCGTGGGGCGATGTCCAAGTGGTTTACGTTGAAGCCTGGTAAGAAGGCCAGCAAGAGGTGTCACACCCCAGTCTCACTGGAGGGATTCCCACTTTGCCACCCCCTCCGGCTAGCTCTTCCTAACCCACTTTTTGCCCAGTGGAAAGGCCGCCCCCTCCAAGTCAGGAAGTCCAGAGACCCCCTCTGCTTCAGCTCTGTGGTTCTCACCGGAGATGGCGAAGCCACTGAAGCCCACAGCGAGGACGAGGAAGGAGATAGCCACGCCTTTGGAGTGCGAGTAGCCAACCACCAGCAGCAGCGTGGCTTCCATGCCAAAGCCTACAGGGAGTCAGTCGCCTGCTTGAACTGCCATCGGCCAGGGCGCAGGCCACCCCACACCACCTCTCCAGGCCTGAGCCAGGGCCCAGCCTGGCTCAAATCCACCCCACGCTCACCACCTCCAAGCTGCGTCAGGGCTTTGACCCCCCCATTGCACTAGCCTGCACTGCCCCAGCCCCTGGAGACCCCACGCCCCAAAAGACTCAGGGTTATAGCCCATCTCTCCAGATCCCCCACTCTGAGTCTCTTCATCCCCTATGCCTGACCCCGCCCACATCCTGAAGGCTCCTCCCCCAAGGGGACTCCGCCCACTAATTAAGGCTCGGCCCCATCCATCCCTTCAGGCCCCGCCCAGCCCCTTTCAGGCTCTCTCTAGCTTGGGCTTCCTTCTGTTCCCCCGGAATAGTGGCACCTGCCCTGCCCTTCCCCCGCCAGGGCCGTGGACCCTGAATTTGCAGCATGGGAGTTGTTGTTCCATCCAGACCTGCCCTCAAGCTGATACGGAGTGGCCACGCCCCTTGGACCCGCCTTCGGACCCTAGCCGCTTCATTTAGTGGTTCGGCCCCTGGACTAGCCCTGCCAATCTGGGCTGCTCAGCGACCTTCCTAGAGCCACACCCAGATCCCGCCCCTCCCGGGCCCCGCCCCACTCACCCCCGCAGTTCATCAATTTGCGCACGTTGGTGGTGGACATGATCCGGCGGCTGCGCAGGAAGTCGGCGATCTGGCCTCCGATGGGCACGATGATGGTCATAACCAGGTGGGGCAGGGCCGACACCAGGCCCACCTGCGCATGTGTGTGAACGTTGCGGGGGTGCTCAGGGGCTGCAGGGTGGGAGTCACCTGCCCATCTTGCCTTCCGACCCCTTAGAAGGAATCCAGATCCCCAATGAGCCGCTTCCTTTCCTCCCCCGCCCAGCCTGCCTGGGGCCCACCTTGCTGATCTCGAATCCAAACACCTCTTCGAAGTAGGCGGGCTGGGAGATAAGGAGCAAGTAGAACGTCCAACTCCGGCAGAAGTTGGCCACTATGATGGCGTAGACCGGCATGGACGTGAAGAAGCGCCGCCAGGGAGTGTTAAACTTCTGTGGGGACCAGAGGAGGGGCCACTAAGATGGACACCAGCCCGAAGGGGTCCTCACCGTGTCCCTTCTAGGCCGCCCACAGTCCTCTAGAGAGTCAATGATTTGGTACCACTGTCATCTCTAAAACACAAAGGACCGGTCAATCTCCCTGCTGTGGAGCCGATTCCGATGCATAGCGACCCTATAGGGCAGAGCAGAACTTGGCCCTGTGGGTTCCGGAGACTGTAAACCATTTTATTTTTGAGGCTGTAAATCTTGATGAAAGTAGAAAGCCTCATCTTTCTCCTGTGGAGTGGCTGGTGGTATCGAACTTCCTCGATCTTGTTGTTAGCAGCGCAATGCTTAGGCCACTGCGCCACCAGGGCTACTCACTGCAAACTCTGTAGACCCTAGAGTGGCCACAGTCTCTGGTGTCCCGGCCTCACGATGACCCTCAGGGGTTCATTAAAGTGAGGCCAGCAGACTCCTTCCATTCAAATCTAGCCTGACTCACCTCAAGGTCTAAATGAACCCCTCGTACTCTAATCCCGTCCAGTCGAGGATGGTTTTAACCATGCCCCATCCAGGGTTGGAATCCCGCCGACCTGGCGACCCAGTCCCACCCACTCGGTTCCAGTACCACCTTCTATTTGGTCTTAGCCAGTCTCCTCCGAGGTTGTCCTGAAACCCGCGCGTTAAAAAAAAGTGGCGCGGGTTCAAAGCTCCTTTGATCGCCCGCCTCAGTGCTTGCAAGGTGTGCCCCGCCCTGCCGCACCCCGCGCCCCGCGCCCGTCGTCCGCTCCCCACCTCACCCACCCCCCCAGCAGCCCGGGTCCGAACCGTGACTGGATTCATGAGTTTGGCACTCTCGCCGATGGCGTCCTCGATGTACTTGCGCTCCTGCTCCGAGATGCTGGGGTGCACCGCCGGGGATTCGTAGGAGACCAGCAGCCAGAAAAGGTACCAGAAGATCCCGAAACTGCCTGGGAAGGGGGGTCAGCAGGGCGATGGGAGCGGAATGACCTGGGCTCCACCCCGCCCGAGCGCCACCCGGACCCAGGAGTGCGGGCCCCTCACCGTAGACGTAGAACACGGAGCTCCATCCTGAGTACTGCACCAAGACCCCTGCTAGGGGCATCGCGACCACCGCCCCAGCATAGGATCCTAACAGAGAGGACACTGGTTGGAGGGCAGGTTCCTCTATCCTGGGCCAGGAGTGCGCGCAGACCCCACTTAAATACAAGCCACAGCCAGCCCCTCTTGGCTCAGATACACCACCCTGCGTCCCCAACCCTGAAAGCTAGCCCAGGAGACCAGCTGGGGTTGAAACCCATTCACCCCCAGATCCAAGAATCCAGGTCCCCACCTAGCTCATTTGAAATTCCTGGCGCCCAGCGCCCTCCTCCCTCAGACCTGAAATCCTGACCCCCGCCCCCAGTCCCCTCTGGAGTCCAGGTCCCCAGCCCCTCCTCTCTCACCTAAAAGTCCTGGTCCCCAGCCCCCTCCTCCCTAATACTCCAGTCCAGGCTCCTAGCTTCCCCCTCCCTCAGTCGTGAAACCCTGAACTACAGGCAGGCCCGTCCTCCCTCAGACTCAGGAGTCCAGGTCCCCAGCCCACTCCACCCTCCCCAGAAGGCCTGGTCTCTAGCTCTCTCGTCTCCCAAATCTGAAGTCCAGGTCCAGCCCCCTCCTCCCTTATATCTGAAATCTTAGCCCCCCAGTCCCTCCTCCTCAGACCCGGGGGCCTGGAGCCCCAGCGTCAACCCCCTCACCACAAAAGGCTGTCGTGGCCAGGCGACTCCGCTCTAAGGGTGGGGCCCACTTGCTCCAGATCCCGTGGCAGGCGGGGTACGTGACCCCCTGGGGAGCAGAAACCCAGGGTCAACGAGAATGGGTGGGGTCAGAAAGGGGGCGGGGCACGGTGAGGCGGGGCTTTACCTCTACCAACCCCTGCAGGATCCTCACGAAGATGACGCAGCCGTAGTGGACGCGGGCCGCGGAGGGGATCAGCATGTTTAGCGTGGACGTCGCCACGATGGCAAAGCCAAAGACCCTGATGAGAGGAGACCATGGTCCCCAGAAGGGTCCAGCAATCTCCTCTGCCTATGGTTCCACCGCCCTCCCTGGCTACAGCCCCGCAGGCTTTGCCTTTCTGGGAGCCCTGGGCCCCGCCTTCCACAAACTCAAGCCCTCATTTGAAGACCGCGCCCAAATCCTAGGCTGCTCCCCGCCCCCCAAGGTCCGCGCACAACTAGAAGACCAAGCCCTCTAGCCCCATCCTCTGCCTTGATGATCCCCGCCCAGCAGGGGAGTCCACCTCTGTTGTACCTGTTGGCTGCAAATTTTTGGCAGATAAATCCTCCGGGGATCTGGGTGACAATGTAACCCCAGAAAAAGGAGCCATGTATGAGGCCGACAGTCTCTGGGTCCCAGTTGAACTGGGCTTTCTGCAGATCAAAAAGACACATTAAACCAGCCGCCGGGTCCCAGGCGCTGCACCTCTCCATCAATCAGAGCTTCGAACCCAACCTCACAGCCAATCGGCAGTCAAGGATCTCGCTTCGCCGCCATAGCGCCAATCAGCGCCCACTCCGGCAGGCGGTCCTTCTGTCGGCTGAGTGTGCAACTGCTCTACGTTGCTAGGGCCAATGAGACTTTAGCGACGGGACCATACCTGCCTAGACAACAGGTTTCAACTGTTTCCCTGTCTCAGCGTCCCTTCCTTGAAAGTCTGGGGACCGTGTAGGATGATGGGAGACTTGTTCCACTTCTATCCCGCCTCCTAAGAGCCCTGGTGGCAGAGTGGGTTACGAGTTGGGCCACTAACCGCAAGTTCGAACCCACCAGCCGCTCCTGGGAGAACGATGTGGCTTTCTACTCCTGTAAAGAGTAGATAGAGTCTCATTTGGGAATCCCACAGGTGCAGTTCTACCCTGCCCTATAGGATCGCTGTGAACCAGAATCCAGATGTCAATGAGCAATTGCTTAAACCCTCAGAAGCCTACAGGGGCAGTTTTATTTTGTCCATAGGTCTCTATGAACTGCCTCGATGGCAGCAAGTTTGATTGTTGTTGGGTTTTTTTCTTTTTGAAGGAGAGCCCTGCTTCCTATCGGATCCCACTGCATGCTATTTGCGAGTGACCTATGGGAGCGGGATTGTAGGGCTGAAGGGGCGGGCCTGATAGGAAGGGACTCGGAGGCGTGGCTTCAGGTTGGCCCCGCCCATACCGGAATGAGTCCTCCGCAGGAGAGGGCAGAGTTAAGAGGCTGGCACCAAGAGGCCTCTATTGAAATAGAGGTGGAGCCTGAGATGGGGCGGAGCTTGATGCAAACGCAAAAACAGAGGGGGCGGGGCGTGCATGGGATGACGTAAGCAGAGTTGCCAGTAAACTCCAGATGGCAGAGGGCTGAGGCACAGGTGGGGCGGCGACTACCTGAAGGCTGATGCTGGGACTGAATTTATATTTTGCCGCCGGGACGGGACAGGAGTTGGAGGGGGCGGGACTTCATTACTGTCTGGGAGGGGCTTAGACAACGGAGAAATCTAAGGCGAGGTCGCCGCTGAGAGAGCGGAACTCGGTGCTTTGAGGTGGGGGTCGTGTGCTACCTGCACCACCAGGTGCCCCCCGCGGTGGGTGGTGCTGTTGTTGACCATGGAGACGATGGCCACACCCAGGTTGCAGCGAATTCCAAAGCTGATGCAGAAGCCCAGGCCGCTCATGATGGCGATGATGTAGCGGCGGGGAAGGCCGAAGCAAGTGCAGTCGCACAGTGGCGCCTTCTTCTCGGGCGCCTCCAGGGCCTTCCCATCCTCGCTCAGCTCCAGCGTCTCGGCTCCTTCTTGCCGCTTCTCGAGAAGGCTGGGGCGGGAGGGGGGGCGGGCAGTGAGCAGCAAGAGTCAGAGACTG